ATCGGCAGCGGCTCCCTGCCGCCCCCACCATGCTGGGATTCTGTGAAATCCTCCTCTAGCCTCTGCTGAGCCCTAGCACCATGCAGAGTTCCCTCTCCCCTCCCTGGAGCACCCTGCCTTGGGCCCTGGGTGCCATCTGGGGAGCAGGGGCTCCCCTACCCCCACCTCAGCCCCCCACAGCTCCCAGCCCCAAACAATTGGTGCATTTGAGCCCTGCAAGCGTGAGGCTGCAGCGAGGCCCCAGCACCAGGCCCCTGAGCCCCTAAGGAGATTATCACTCCTCACATGAGCCCGACGGGCCTCCCGGGCTCACACTGGGGAGGGGGCACAAGGGGGGCAGGGACACGGAGGGGAAACTGGTGCCTGGGAGCCCCACAAGGGTCCCTGTGGGCAGGGGAAGGGACAGAGCAGAGCTCTGGTGTGTGGGCTGGGCTCAGGGATGCCCCAGGGGCAGGGGGACACACGGACACTTTGAACAGCTCTTCCTCGGGGGAATTTCAGACCCCAAAAGCACAGACCTGAGCACCCTGCTGTGCTGTGGGGCAAAGCACCCTGTCTGGTGGTGGGAGGGCACTGAGGGCACTGAGGCACGGGGGTGGGAGCCCACCCCCGTGGCTGGCACACAGCAGGAGCTGCAGAGGTCCCAGTGCAGCCAGGGGAGCAGCTGGGCACGGAGCAGCTCAACCAGCAGCTCTGCTCCCCCCAGGGCCACCCTGCCCGGGGGTGGCCCCACACCACAGCTCCAAGGCCATCTCCCACCTCTGATCCCATGGGATACCTTAAAGGGGGACAGGAGATGGTGGGGAACAGGCCCCTGTTGTCCCCTGGCCCCATGTGAGGGGACAGACCTTCGGAGCCAAGTCCTGGGGGGCCAAGGGCTCCATCCCCACCCCCTGACACCCCGGAGCTGCCCAGTCCATGGAGAAGGGTGACGAGTGCTGGGGATCCAGCCAAGTGTGACAGACCAGAGGGGACAGTGGGGGGGCTGGACACCCCCCCAAGGGCTGGGTGAGTGGGAGGCAGCCCCCAGAGTGCCCAGGGAAGGGGCACAGGCGGGTAAAACATTAAACCTCTGCTCTTTATTGGGTGCCCGGGCTCCTCGCCCCGTGTTCCCAAGCCAGCCGTACGGAGCTTTTCCAGGGGTGACCTGAACTCGGGGGGTGCTCAGAGCAGGGCCACACTGGAGGGGGGTGTGGGGCAGGGGGCACTTCCTCTGGGCATCCCCAAACTCCCCCTGGGGACAGGGCTCTGGCCCAGGCGAGGGGAGAACGTCAGGCACCCCCTCCAGCACCCATCCCGGGAAAGCTCCAATCCCGGGAAAGCTCCGTGGAGAGCAGGAATCGCCCCCTCCTCTGGCCTGCCCTGCAGCGATGCTGGGGAGGGGGCGGGGCCCCCAGCCCCCCTCCAACTCGCCTTATTGCTATAGTCAGAGCAGCAGAGCCGGCGGGAGGGGCTCAGGAGGCCACGGGCTGACGGCGCGGGGCGG